CAGTTGGGTATTAATGTCCCCTACTATGATTATATTGCTGTTTATCTCTGCCTTGATATCTTCCAGAAGTAGTTTTTTTTTTTTTTTTAATGAATTTGAGTGCATATAGGTTTACCAGAGTTATATTCTCATGTTGATTTGCTCCCTTTAGTATTACGAAGTAGCCTTCCTTATCTCTTGTTATGGCTTTCACTTGAGATCTAATTTTTCAGATATAAGTATAGCTACTCCAGCTTTTTTTCCCCCCCCATTTGCATGGGAAAAAATTTTCCATCCTTTCATTCTCTATCCTGTGTGTATCTTTTGTTCTGAGGTGGGTCTCTTACAGACAGCATATAGTTATGTTATGTTTTTGTATCCATTGAGCTACCCTATGCCTAGAGGCCCAATGCACGAAGATTCATATAAGAATGGGCCTTCCTTCCCCTGGCTGCCAGCACTGCCGTAGCTCTGGCCAGAGCCGCCTTTCCACCTTCCCACACTGCCCAGAGGCCCAGAGCAGCTGGGGTGGTGTGGAATGCCTGCATTGACACCATGGGGACGACACTAGCAGTCCAGCATCTGTGTATGCAAATTACCTGCCATCTTTGTTGGGTTAATTTGCATACTCACTTCTGATTGGCTGGTGAGTGTCTCAAAGGTATGGTCAATTTGCATCGTACTCTTTTATTAGTGTAGATAGGTACTTATTTATTGCCAAATTGATTCAGTTTAATTCTGTATGCCTAAGTTTCTCTCTCTTGTTTCTTCTCTATACAGCATTCCCTTTAGCGTTTGTAATGCTGGCTTGGTGGTGATGTATTCCTTTAGCCTTTTTTTTTTTTTTTTTTTTTTTTTTTTTTTTTTTTTTTTTTTTTTTTTTTTTTTTTTTTTTTTTTTTTTTTGTCTAGATGCTTTTTATTTGGCAATTTTGAATGATAGCCCTGATGGATATAGTAATCTTGGTTTTAGATTCTTTCTTTATATTACCTTGAATACTTCATGTGCTTTCCTTCTGGCCTGTAGAGTTTCAGATGAGAAATCAGGTGTCAGCCTTATGGGAGCTCCATTGTAGATAATAGTTTGCTTTTCTCTTGTGGCCTTTAAGATTCTCTCTTTGACTTTAATTTTTGGCATTTTAATTATGCTGTGTCTGGGCATGGGCCTATTTGGGTTCTTGTTTGGGGTTCTCTGTGCCTCCTGAACTTGTGTGACTTTTTCTTTACCAGGTTAGGGAAGTTTTCTATCCCTTCTCCCCTTCTGCCTCTTCTGGGACGCCTGCTCTTCGAATATTGTTAACATTTCATCATGTCCCCTACAGCTCCCTTAAGTTGTTCTCCTGTTTTTTAAATTTTTTTTCTTTTTGATTCTTTGAATGAGTGATTTTCAACCTCATCTTTTAATTCACTGATTCGATTCTCAGCTTCCCCTAATCTGCTATTTATTTCTTCCAGTGTCTTCTTTATGTGTTCTATGTCATTCTTTGTTTTCTTAGTTACTATATGTTTTCTCATGCTGTTGAGCATCTTTACCATCCTTACTCTGAACTCTTTATCTGATAAATTTCTGATCTCCATTTTATTTATCTCTTCTTCTGGAGAATTCTCTTGTTCTTTCGTTTGTAGATTGTTTCCTATCTTTGGCTTTCTGTTTGGGTTTGTGACTGTGTATTAGATCTGCTCCACCTCTCAATCTCTAATGCAGGAAAGGGTCAAATGCTGTTTCTGACTGATCAGGCAAAGACTAAAAACCTCTATACACCGTATCTGTTTACAGACTTACATGATTCTGTCTTAAATTGTCCTCAATCAAGCATTCATATGTGTGGCAAGAGTTTTTTCAACAGGGTTCAGTAGTTGCTTCTGCCTGGAGGCTAATTGTTATTCTAAGTCTCTCTTTTTAAAAAAAAGATATATTTATTTTATTTTATTATTTTTATTTATTTTTTTTACAGAGAGGAAGGGAGAAGGATAGAGAGCTAGAAACATCGATGAGAGAGAAACATCGATAAGCTGCCTCCTGTGCACACACACCCCCCCCCACACACACACACACACACACACACACTAGGGATGTGCCCACAGCCAAGGCATGTGTCCCTGACCGGAATCAAACCTGGGACCCTTCAGTCCGCAGGCTGACGCTCTATCCACTGAGCCAAACTAGTTTCAGCTATTCTCAGTCTCTTAATTGGGCCTCAGCAATTGTGCACTGTGGGGCAAAGTGTTTTCCAATGGAGGGATTAGCTGTCTTCCCCCACAGGCAAGGTCGCCTGTATGCCTAATGCCTGCGGAATATGACCTTGCAGTGTAAGGGAATGACTCAGCACAAGAAACCAGGGTGTCTACCTTCTGAGCTCTGAATCCTAAGCCCCGGATCCTGGCTTCTGTTCTCACAGCTCCAGTCCACTCTGCCCTCCCTCTGCAAGAGCACAAGGTAGGTGACTCCACAGGGAATTTTGTTCTTTGGCCCTTTAAGAGGGTGTCTGAATTTCCAGCTGTCTCTCCCTGGCAAACAACAACCCTGCTGCTTTTCATAGCAAAATGTTATGTGACTACCCTTCTCAGTTGTGGTGCTCTTTTCTGGGGGGCCCAGCTCTGGAATTAGACCCTAGAGTTCTCATTGGCAACGCCCACAGCTGAGATATCTCTCTGGAACTCAGTTGCTGTCTGTGGGCATCTCGCCAGCCCTTTCACTCCTCTGCCACTCCTACCAGTTTCTTTGCAGTCTCCCCTTTTGGTCCTCAGGCATAGGGTTCTCTCCAGCGAGTCTTCCATTGATTATTAAGGAAGTTTTTCTATAATTTAGTTGTAATTTCAGTTTGTTCCTGGGAGCATATCTGTGCAGCATCCACTTTATCCACTGGCATTTTTAATCTCTGTACTTTATCTTTTAAATTTGCTTCTATATCCACCACTACATAGAACTTGCTCTTGTGTGTGTAGTTTGAGCTGTGGTTTTCTGTAATCTGATTGTATCTTTTTTATGTCTTTACAGTTCAGGTGCATTGATTATATACCTTGAAATGTTACGTATTGTTTTCAAGTTTTACAGATTCTTTTTCTTTTTTAATTTCTTTATTGATTAAGGTATTACATATGTGTCCTTATTCTCCCATTACCCCCCAAGCTTCCATTCATGACCCCACCCCCCTTGTTGTCTGTGTCCATTAATTAAGCTTGTATGCATGCATACAAGTCCTTTGGTTGATCTCTCCCCCTTTACTCCCACTGTTCCCTACCTTCCCTGAGGTTTGATGTTCTGATTGATGTTTCTCTGTCTCTGGATCTATTTTTGTTCATCAGTTTATGTTGTTCATTATATTCCACAAATGAGTAAGATCGTGTGATTTTTATCTTTCTCTGTCTGACGTTTTTCACTTAGCATAATGTCCTCCATCTCCATCCATGTTGTTGCAAATGGTAAGAACTCTTTTTTTACCGCAGTGTAGTATTCCATTGTGTAGATGTACCACAGTTTTCTAATCCACTCATCTGCTGATGGGCACTTAGGCTGTTTCCAAATCTTAGCTATGGCAAATTGTGCTGCTATGAAATAGGGGTCCATTCTTTCCATATATCTTTTCTGATGTTTTTTGATGGGGAGCTGAAAAAGTAATAGGAGCACATATTAAGTCTGTCATCTATTAGGCTAAGTCTGCCATTTTAGTTCTGATTTCTAATTGATGTCCTTTAAAAATGATTTAAGATTCTGATAATAATATACAGGTTTTGGTTAATGGTAAACAAAATGAGCAGCCAGACAAATTAGCATACACTGTTGTGTTTGACCTTGTTATGTATTATTCTACCCAATGGGTTAATTTAATAAGGTTTTACGTAATTAGAAATTATTATAACAATTTAAATATTTTTTCTTAGGGAGACAATTATAAAATCTTATATTTTCAACAATTTTTTTAGCAGATCAATAGTAGGTGGTAAAAGCATTATTGCTATATCAGTTTACCTATGGAAAGTTTCAAGTCAAAAATCAAAACTATTTCAGGGTTGATTAGCATCTGAAAAACAGTATTTTAATTCTATTCATTTTCCTCATAATGTAGGTTAGCTATTCAAGTTCGATCAGTTAGCATGAAAATTCTTACTCAATTCTCAAAGCACAATTCAGATTTTCTTCTTTAGAGTCTTCCAAACTCTCAAACAATTGTTCCTCACTCTATAATTTCAGGATGTATTTTATTGTATTATACTAATTATAGGAATTTTCTTATTTTGAAAATACTGTTTTATTGCAGGTTACCCTTCACCAAACTCTGAAGTCCATTTTTCTTATTCACTTTTTATAATATAATCAGAGCATTATATTTGCACAGTGATTGGAATATAAGAATTTTAGGAATGGAAGGATGGATACTAACTCATCATTCTAATTTTCTGTCCCAAATAAAGTATAAACTATGGAAAGTCCTGAGATCATAATGACTTTTAATAATGCAACGTTTAAGTTTGATTTGAAATATGTCATTTATTTTTATGAGGTAACAATTACCATATGGATTTGTAACTATGCAATTACTAGAGGCCTGGTGCCCGACATTTGTGCACTCTGCCCGGCCTGCACCCTCTTGCAGTCTAGGACCCCTGAGGCTTGTCCGACTGCTGGAGGCAGGAGAGGCTCCCACCTCCACCACGCTCTCCAGCCAGGAGCTGGGTTGGCTGCTCCTTAGCACTGCCTTGAGGGTAGGAGAGGCTTCTGCCACTGCCACTGCACTTTCCAGCTGTGAGCCCGGCTTCTGGCAGAGCAGTGCTCCCCCTGTAGTAGCGCAGTGACCAGAGGACAGCTCCTGCTTTGAGCTTCTGCCCTCTGGTGGTCAGTGCATATCATAGCGACCTGTCGTTCTGTCATTTGGTCTATTTGTATATTAGGGTTTTATTATATAGGATGTGGTGCCTTTGAAAATTTCTCATTGTATAAAAAATAAAACTAATCCTGTTTTTAAAATACATTTTTAACAGATAAAGCCCAGTATTTTAGACTTGTCATTTTCTTTTTTGAAGGATCAAAGTAACAATGAAATTATGATTGGAGTGATGTCAGGAGGAATTCTCATTTATAAGAACAGGGTACGAATGAATATCTTTCCATGGTAAGGACTTCCATGAATACTTTTGCTTTTTTATATTACTAATATAATAATTCATATTAAAGAAAATGACGAAGTGTATTAATGTTGGCATGCAAATTTATTTTACTTGGAATCTACCAGAAGACACCAAAATAATTGTGTTAATTTATTTCAAAAATTGCTTAGCTTCTCGGAAATATTACTTTATGAATTTTTCTCTTAGGGAATCTCTAAATTTGTACTGTAATATGATAGCTAGCATCATGTGTACTCTGTCCTGCACCATCCCCATTGCTTTAAATACAGTAAGTATTTCATTTAAATGCATTCATTGAGATAGATTATTATTTGGAACACAGGCATACTAAGACTTATATTACAGTGTCTTAAATTGGTGCTAAGAAAGTATGGTGGCTGCATGGGGTATAAAACCTATGTTTTTATTTTTGCTTTTTGTCTCATTTCTACTGTCCTTCGTATATTACCTTTGTCCTCACTGTCTAGGATGACTCACCCACCATCACTTCTATATCCCAGAATGAAGAAAAAGGAAAAGTAGCATCTGCCAGTTCCCTTTAATGGAATGACACGAAAATCTTAACAGTCACATTTATCTTATCTCATATAAGTAACTCAAGTTTTTAAAAAATAAACACAATGGTTTTCTTTAGGGGAAGAAATAAATACAAAAGAACTATATTGTATTAATCTGTTTTGTTGTTTTTTATAGCTCTTAAAATATTTGGTCCTGATTTTTCAATATCTATGATTTTCATTTTTTTTTTTTATAATATTCACTCTTAATGAAATAGGGTAACTGACAGGAATAATTATTTTATAAAATTGCCACAACTTTGTTTTTTTTAAAGAAAGATAAATTTTTGTTAGGACATAAGAACATAAACCATGAAAAAAAATTAATGAAATGAACATCAAAATTAAATACTTCTGCTTTCCAAAGATACTCTAAAGACACAGTTGTTTAAAAAAGACATATTTTTAAAAAACAAAGAATTTACCAAGAATATATGAAGAACTTACAGCTCAGTAATAAGAAGACAAACTAATTTAAAAAATAAGAAAAATACTTGAATAAACAATTCAACCAAAGATACACAAATGGCCAACATGAAAAGATGCTCAGTCATCAAAGGAATACTGTTCAGAAATAAAAAGAAATGAACTAGATACATTATGCTATGTGGATGACCCTACCCTCAAAACATTATGCTGATTGTTAGAAGTCCATACATATACTTTGTTCCTATTTATATGAAATTCATAAATTACTAGTTAGAGCAGAGCAATGGTTGTAAGGAACTGAACATGGGAAGAGGCAATTGACTGCAAAGGGGCACCAGGCGACATTTTGAAGTGATGGAAATGTTAAACGGTGAATTGGGTGGATGGAAGTTACACAGCCAAATACATTTGTCAAAATTCATTGAATTGTTCGCCTATGATCATTATATTTCATTGTATGTATAAATTACACCTCTGAATAGCTCATAAAAACACTAAAGATCACTTAGTGTTTCTTGTTACATCTTCTCAGTGCTTCCTATGCAATTCAAACTGTGGTATGTTCAAAGGAGAATATAAAACAGTTCAATACGTGGTCCTTATAAGTGAACACAAAAATTCATTATAAAACAGTAAGAAAGTGTATTGGTAGATGTATATCTTTATGATTTTACTAAAGACAATTTTTAAAAATACATTCTTACATTTTATATAAATGTCAAAATCAGAAATAAATTATTTTCCGTTCATATGCATTAAAAGAATATGATAACCTAAATTTTCCTGTATTGTCAAAATTCTATAATACACAATTCCTTTATTATTAATAAGGATTCTAAAAGAGTTTTTGGCAAATTGCTTCAAAAACACAAAAGATACAATTTCTCTAGAGAAAACTTTAATGGCTCAGTGATAGTTGAAATGGTTTTATAAAGGATAAATAAAAATTTCCTAAATGAAATTAAAATGAAATGTGCAAGAGGCACATGTGTTTAGAGGGTTCAATCAGGGAATTCATGGTAGATGTACCAAGCATGTGGGAAGACCTACTAGTAAGAAAGAACTTGGCAACTTGAGGAAATATTGGGCTTTTTGGTTTGGTTTTTCCTTCAGTTTTCTTCATTGTGTATAGAAGCAAGGAAACAAGAATTTAGGAAAATAATGCTTAAGAGAAATTAGATTTAGATTTTGAAGGCTCTTATGTATTCTATATGCTCAGGAGTTGGTATTTTATTGGTAAGTATACCTACAGCTTAATATTGAGAGAGAACTCATATTTTCCAAGTCTTTCTCATATAATTTAGGCAAGTATATGCACCTTTAAGATATTGACTGGAAAACCTTATATAGTGTTCATTTTAAACATTGTGAAGAATTAATCTATGTAGATGGGATTTAAATGTATTAAAGCTATTAAATTTTCATTGTCATGGAACATAAGAATGTCTTGTGATTCTAACTACTCATAACAATACATACTATAACAAATATATTTATAAATACTTCACCAATAGCCATGATTTAAGATCCAGTATGAAACCAAAATTCAAATGGTAGAAAATTTCTACATGAATGAAGAATTTAGAGCAAAGTTGGAAGTTTTAGAATTGATTAAATATTGAGACAGAAAAAAAAATCACTCATGGATCTTAATGCATTTTATCTGTAGCTTAAAATCCTGTAAGTTGGGGGTTATTAGCATTGTTTTTACAGATAAGGATTGAAAAATGGCAGAGAACTTGGCTGGTCTAAGGTTAAACAACTTGTAAGTATAAAGTAGAATTTTTAACCCAGGTCTTTCAGATTCTGAAACACACGCTTCTCCCTTACCACTTCTCTTAAAATTAGAACTACATGTAGAAAAAGTAGTGTGCCACATACTAAATATGCTTCTTCGTATCTTTTCATGTATGATTATTCCTGAGTTATTTAGTTCAAGTTCATACTTTTAAAGTGTTGAATAGTGAATTGGGATTATTTTTAGAGAAAATAATCTGTAAGTTAGACTTCATTAAAATCAATGCTAATAAAAGACAACACTATTAAGCCTGGCTGGTGTGGCTCAGTGGTTGAGTGTCAACCCATGAACCAGGATATCATGGTTTGATTCCAGTCAGGGCATATGCCCAGGTGGTGGGTTCAATCCCCAGCATGGAGCATGCAGGAGTCAGCTAATCAATGATTCTCTCTCATTATTGATGTTTCTATATTTTCTCTTTCCTCTTGGAAATCAATTAAAATATTTCTTTTTTTAAAAAGAAATACATATTTTAAAAAAACAAAACAAAACATTCACCATTAAGAAAATAAAATGGGGAAGAGAAAGTTCTGGTTCCAAGTCCAGCAGGTAAAGAATTTAGAAGTCATCACTACTATCCTTACAAGAAAAAAACAACAAAAAATAAGGAAAAATGAAAATCAACTATTGTTTTTAGATCCTTCAGAGAATTAAGTATTCAAGGCACACTGCAGCTCTCAAAACTGAAGAGACAGATGAATATAAAGAATGACAGTTTACTAGGACTAAGAAATCACTCTGTAGCCAGCAACTGGTAGGAAATAATTAAAGGGTAATTGACTGCTTTAGATGGAGCAAAGATAGCTTGAGAGATGAAAACTCGTGACATCTCAGCCTTAGGAAGGCCTTCCCCCTGCCCCCTGACATGTTTTCATAAGTTTTACCATCAGTTGCTCACCAGGTTCTCAGTGTGAACATTGGAGAAAAATTTCATGTTCTGGAGGATTGAGGGTTGATGGTGCTGGTGAACCGGAGGTAACTATTTAAAATGTGCCCAGAGCTTTCTTTTTTCTTTAAGGAAGGTCTGCCCTCAAGGAAATAGTTTAACCAATACTTAACCATCATAGGTTTTTATCAATAAGAGCCTAGTCAGCCGAAACCGGTTTGGCTCAGTGGGTCTGCAGACTCAAGGGTCCCAGGTTCGATTCCAGTCAAGGGCATGTACATTGGTAGCTGGCGCGTCCCCGTTGTGGGGGGTGCAGGAGGCAGCTGGTCGATGTATCTCTCTCATCGATGTTTCTGGCTCTCTGTCCCTCTCCCTTCCTCGCTGTGAAAAATCAATAAAATATACTTTTAAAAAAATAAGAGCCTATTCAAAGTGGGGGAAGGGAAATCACAACATCCGGCTCCCTCCATAGTTCTTGTGTCACCTGAGTGTAAGGTTTGAGGAGCAGGAAAAGGGAGTAGGAGACCAAGACATGTTAAAGGGAAAGTTTATTCTGCTGTAAGGATCAAGATTCATTATCGGAGGAGATAGAGAAACCAGGATTAGAGGAGGGGGAGGAAGAGGACCCAGCCAAATTGCCTCCTGCAGACTGGAAGAGACAGTAACACCTGCAAGGGCGAAGATTCCTTTTGAGGGGGAGGAACAGGAAGGGGTGGGTCCCAGGGCACTCGGCACGTGCTGATTGGTGGTTCAATGTCTTGGGATCATAACTCTGCCCACCAGTTGGGGAGAGGGAGGATCTATCACTAAGAACTAGGTGAGCTGTAAAGCAATGAAACTGATGAACCAAGAGACAGATATAGAGAAAGTAAAGCAACAGGCAGACTGTCAAATAACAGTGGGGAGGGGAGGAAGATCTGGAGGAGATAATAGATCAACCGAAGGACTTGTATACATGCATATAAGTACAACCAATGGACACAAAACTGGGGAGGAAGGAGATGTGTGGGAGGGAGGGGGGCAAAAAAAAATTAATAAAATATGTAAAAATAAATAAATTTTTAAAAAAAAGAAAGTCAAGGGTCACAAACCACTAAAACACTGAGACCTAATAGGATTAAATAATTATTCCTCCAACCCACATCTTACTACATTAACATGGTTCCTATATAATATAATTACAATTTAAATAACTGCAAGACTCAATCTACATAAGAAGTAGTCTGTCAGGAAACCCAGGGACAACGGGGAGACAAAAACAAAGGTAGAATAGGAAGTAGCCTCAAACACCAACCTCACAAACTGATCCTTTGAGGAAGCTACAGTTTGATAGCCTTCGTTTCTAAATGAATTTGTGCCCCGGGGCATTATTGAAAACAGTAGAGTAGTGTGGGTAAGGGAGTGTTAAAGTTAGGAGTGCTTATTGAAAGACTGGAATGACTGGTATCACTCTCATTTTAGGTTCCTGTGGGCATATTCAAAGCTGGGTCCTCCTGAAAAGCAACAGGAAAAGTAACACTGAGGGTTGACTGCTGGAGATAGAGTTCATAAAAGTAGTCCACCAGCGCTGGCCAGTGTGATTCAGTGATAACAGTGTCATACTTTAATAGTTCACATTCTGAGCATAAAAATTATAGTAATTTTTTTTAAAATGTATTTTCATTGATTTCAGAGAGGGGGAGGGAGAGAGAAAAACATCACTAATGAGAGAGAATCATTGATTGGCTGCCTCCTGCACACACCCCACTGAGGGTCTAACCCAGAATCCGGGCATGTTCCTTACCTGGGAATGGAACCTTGACCTCCTGGTTCATAGGTCGACGCTCGACAACTGAGCCACACCAGCCAGATGATGAAATACATTTTAATAAACACTGCCTTTATAAGTATTCAAAGTGTATGTACATTTTTGTATATACAAAAGGATACCCTGATTAAGGTATCTATGGAAAATCTGTTAATGTTATGCTAAATAGTGGAAGTGTCAATGCTTTTCATGTAAGTAAAATCAGGAAAAAATATGCTTACTCTCTCTAATTCAGCTTTGTTATTTAAGTCCTATCAAGCATATTAAGGCAAGAATCCTATTTAATAAAGAGGGGATATGCTAATTGACCACCACTCCATCACAAAGATGGCTGCACCCACAGTTGAGGCCAAGTTCCCATAAGGAGTCTTAACAGGCAATCAGCAGGGACCTAAGGCTATGCCTTCCCCTGCCCCCCGTGGGGCTCGACAGGGGACCTCAGGCTGCATCCCACACCCGGCAGAGCTTGACAGGGGACTTGAGGCCACGACACCTGCCCCAGCACCAGGCCGAGGGACCTGAGGCCGTGCCCCCCACCCAGCGTGGCTTGACGGGACCTCAAGGTGCACCCCCAATGCTGGGTCTGGAGAACCAGACCAGGGGACCTGAGGCTTCACCCCCCTGCCTTGAGCATCCCTATAAGAGCATCTAGATTTTTTTTTCCATTGCTATATCTAAGAGTTTTATAATTTTGCATCTTATGTCTAAGTCTCTGATCCATTTTGAGTTAATTTTTGTGAAGATTATAAGGTCTTTGTCTAAATTTACTTTGTTTCTGCATGTGGATGTCCAGTTGTTCCAGATTCATTTGCTTCATTGTATTGCCTTTGCCCTCTCTCAAAGATTATTTGACTTTATTTATGGAGGTCTGTTTCTGAGTTCTGTATTCTATAACATTGATCTGTTTTGTCTATTCTTTCACAAATACTATTGTATACTATTTTGATTACTATAGCTTTATAGTAAGATTTTAACTCAGGTAGCATCACTCCTCCAACTTAGTTGTTTTTCTATACTGTTGTCAGCAAACTGAGGCTTGTGAGCCATGTGGCTCTTTGGCCCCTTGAGTGTGGCTCTTCCACAAAATACCACGGCCTGGGCGAGTCTATTTTGAAGAAGTGGCATTAGAAGAAGTTTAAGTTTAAAAAATTTGGCTCTCAAAATTTCAGTCATTGTACTGTTGATATTTGGTTCTGTTGACTAATGAATTTGCTGACCACTGCTTTAATACATGTTGGCTATTCCGGATTTATCGCCTCTCCATATAAACTTTAGAATCAATTTGTCAGTATTCACAAATAACTTCATGGGATTTTTATTGGGATTGCATTGAATCTATAGATCAAAGTGGACAGAATTGACATCTTTGGCAAACAATACTGATTCTACCTAACCAGGAACTTGGAATTTCTTTGCATTTATTTATATCTTTGTCATTTTGGCTCATTGGAGTTTTATAATTTTCTTCATATAGTCCTAGAGCATATTTTTTAGATTTATACTTAAGTATTTCATTTTGGGGGGTGCTAATGTACATGGTATTAATGTTTTTAATTTCAAATTTCACTTGGTTATTGTGGCTGTACAGGAAAGCAGTGAACTTTTGTATATTAACTGTGTACCCTACAACTTTACTATCATCAATTATTAGTTCCAGGAGATTTTTCGTTTGATTCTTTTGGATGTTCTACATAGACAGTTATGTCATCTGTGAACAAAGATAGTTTTATGTGATCCTTTTCAAACAGTGTATCTTTTGTTTCCTTTTTTTGCCTTAATGAAGAGGAGTGGTTAAAGGGGACATCCCTACATTTTACCTGATCTTAGAACACTAATTTCACACCATTAAGTATGTTAACTGCAAATTAGAAAGTATGAAGTTGAGAAAGTTTTCCTCTATTCCTACTTTACTGAAGGTTTTTAATCATGACTAGGCATTGGATTTTGTCAGATGCTTATTCTGAATGTATTGATGTGATCATGTAATTTTTTTTCTCTTTTAGTCTTTTGAAGTATTTGTTTATATTAATTGATTTTCAAAAGGCTTGCATTTCTGGGATAAATCCCACCTGGAATTGTTAGATTTCATATGATAATATTTTATTTAGGATTTTTTTTTAACTTATGGTTATGAGAGATGCTGTTTTATAGTTTTCTTGTAAGATCTTTTTCTAGTTTTGGTCTTAGGATAATTCTGACCTCATAAAATGGCTTTGGAAATGTTACCTCTGATTCTATACTCTGAAAGGAATTGTAAAGAATTGGTATAATATTTAAATTTTTTGTATACTTCACTAGTGAATACATGTGGGCCTGGTGACTTTTTAAAAATCCCTTTAATATCTAATATCTACAGTAGTCTCCTGTTATCTGCAGTTTGCTTTCCACAATTTCAGTTATCCATGGACTGAAAATGTTAAATGGAAAATTCCAGAAATAAACAATTCCTAAATTTTAAATTGTATGCTGTTCTGAGTAGGGTGATGGAATCTTGAATTGTCCAGCTCCATCCAGCCAGGGATGTGACTCATCCTTTTTTCAGCATATTCGATACCTGCCCATCAGTCACCTAGTATCCCTCTCGGTTATCAGATCTTAGTATTTATGTCCAAGTAACCCTCATTTTACTTACCAATGGCCCAAAGTGCAGAACTTAGTGATGCTGACAACTTGGATATGCCAAAAGGAAGCCATAAGTTGCCGAAACCGGTTTGGCTCAGTGGATAGAGCGTTGGTCTGCGGACTGAGGGGTCCCAGGTTCTATTCCGGTCAAGGGCATGTACATTGGCTGCAGGCACATCCCCGGGGGGTGAGGGGGAGAGCAGGAGGCAGCTGGTCGATCTTTCTCTCTCATCGATGTTTCTAACTCACTATCCCTCTCCCTTTCTCTCTGTAAAAAATCAATAAAATATATATGTATATGTATGTGTGTATATATATATATTTATTTTATTTATTTTTTATTTTTTTAAAGAAGCCATAAATTGCTTCCTTTAGATGAAAAAATATGTATGGGGGGGGGGGACATTCAAAGGTAGGGTTCAATATTATATGCATTTTCAGGTATTCACTGGGTATTGAAGTTTATAGCCTGCAAATGAAGGAGGACTACCATATAGGCCCATTTAGGCCAAGTATTTCTTTATTAATTTTAGCAAATTGTATCTTTCAAAAAATTGGTTCATTTTCATTGAAATTATCAAATTTGTGGATCTAGACTTGTTTATAGTATTTTTATTATGCTTTTAATATCAGTGTTATTTATAGTAATGTCTACTCTTCACTTCTGATATTAGTACTTGTGTTGTATTCTTTTTTCTCTTAGTTTGGCTAGAGTAGGGGTGTCGAACTCAATCTGAGAAGGGGCCAAAATCTAAAATCCAGCCTAAATCGCGGGCCGAATGGTTTACTGAACAGTCATAAACTGTCATTGTGATGGAAACGCAGCGGAGTGCAGTGATGACAGCGCAGTGCGGGCCACATTGCAAGGCCTGGCGGGACGGATTTGGCCCGCGGGCCTTGTGTTTGACACATGTGGGCTAGAGGTTTATAAATTTTATCAATCTTTTAAAATAATTGTTTTCTTAATTTGCTAATATTTATGTCTTTAATCAGTATTTTAAATACTTAAGTTCTGTTTCTTTTTATCTAGGTTGAAGATTGTAAAAATTTCGTTTAAGTGCAAACAATTTTTTATTCAACTTAGAAAAGAGTTGGTGAGTACTGATATAATAATTATCAATATAAAGAAATCTTAAGAAATGACAGGTCATTCATGACAACTTTTAGTGCTAGTGAAAGTGTTATTAATACTACTGGAGGCCCGGTGCATGAAATTTGTGCACCTGAGGGGGGGTTCCCTCAGCCCGGCCAGTACCCTCTCCAATCTGGAACCCCTTGGGGGATATCTGACTGCCAGTTTAGGCCCAATCCCAGGGGTCAAGTGTTTATGAGCCAATGCCTGCCTGATCTCCCCCAACTGCCCTCCCCTGCCAGTTTGATCACCCCACACTGCCCTCCCCTGCTGGCCTGATCACACTCCTAACTGCTTGCTTCACTGATGCCCTGATCGCCCCTAACTGCTCTCCCCTGACAGCCTGATTGCCCCTGACAGCCTGATTGCCCCTAATTGCCTCTACCTTGGCTGCCACCACCGTGGCTTTGTCCAGAAGGAAGTTAGACATCTGGAAGATGGCCGGTCGACCTGGTCTAATTAGCTTATTACCCTATAGACTGATAAATACTTTCTGACTTAACTGACAATTTCTGACAAGATGTATTATTTTTCCAGTGTTTCTATGGTTATGATTTAAAGTTTTTCTAGTTATCCATTCTGCTATCTTTTAAGCTTAAAAACTGACCTCATGATGTTTATTATCAGTCCCCAGGGTCCATTCATGAGGGCAGTAAATGAGTATTTTATGTTTCTTTTTCTTTTTACTACTAAATCTATAGCAGTTCCTTTCATATATAAGCTCATTTTGTTTTAGGGAACTTGAGTGTTTAGTTTTATTTCTTGTTCATAAACATATAGTTCATTTCTCCCTTTTTTGTTGTGGCAGTGTCCTTTTTATATATTAAATACAACATATTGTATTATCATGGAAAGTAGTGTTGGAAAGAATTTCATCTTATAGTATTTTTATTTTTATTTTATCAAATTAGACAAATCTTATTCTTTGACGTATATTATTTCTCAGAAATCTTGACAAATTAATGCAGGTTTCAGATAGTTGTGTATGTGTAAAATATATTCAAGATCTTAAAATTGTATTTGAATAAGCTGCATTTTATCAGAAGATAGTGATCTACTAAGTCACTGTAATTCATCATTTATGCTCACGAAATAAGAAAGTTTTTTCAACAGAGATAGTGAAATAGAATAATATACAGATATTAAGTATAGTGCTTAATAAATAAATTATATATAATGTTAATATGTAGAACATTACTACCACCCCAGAAACTGGTATTATTGCTAATGGAGGTGATACCCACTTGCAGTCCTTAACTCCTCCAAAATGCAAACATTACTCTCATTTGTATCACCAGGGATTAGTTTGTTTATTTTTGAACTTCAAAGAAATTCCATAGAATGCTCTCTTTTTGTCTGCTTTTTCTCTCTTAACATTATGAAGTTCACCCATGTTTTTGGACATAGCAGTAGTTTGCTCTATTGCTGTATGCTATTCTACAGAATGAATATACCATAAATAGTTATTTATTCTTACATTAGTGAACAGTTTTGTCATTTCCAGATTATAGCTATTATTATTAATGCTACTTATGAGCATTTTTTACGTTTCAATAAATGTTTAGAGAAATAAAATATGATGTCTTATCTGATAACTGGAGAACAAACAAATATTTTACCTTATATAGGTAGAAGACAATAAATAAGTCAACTTTTTCTAATTTGCTTCCTATTACAGTACTATTGTTATTATTCATCATAATAGTACTTTTAGTATCTAACATTTACTGTGTGCCTGGTAATATACCAATCATTATCAGATCAATTAATTCTTACAACCATTGCCTCAGATAATGTATCATTAGGAATGTGTTTAGCTTCAGGTAATATCAGTAACAAAAAGTCAACTAACAATTGATTAAAGACTGTAGACAGGCATACTCTGCAGAATGGTGCCTTTTAATGTTTTCTATCTGAAATATCTCTTTATTTTTAAATACCCAAACTTTATAGAAATCTACTTATTTTTCAGTACCACAGTTAGCATATCTATTGTTTACAATATGTATGGGAAAGTTTGTTACATTTCAAATACAATTAGAAGAATGTCAGAGTCACATGTATACTTTTTGAAGTTCAGTGTCAAAGGAGGAAGCACAGAACAATTACTGCAGTCATATTCTGAGACATTCTCTGTCATTTTTCATTATATGTGGTATGTGGTACAATATGTAACTATGTAGTTCATGCAAAGCACCCCTTAAGCATAATTAAGATTTCTTTGACCTTCTAGAAGTGATAGTGTAAGCATATTATCTTCTAACAGTAATTTAATATTTATATCTGGGCATTTTTCTGTATTTTAGTTATGAAAAAATATCTATGACCTTTTGATGGGCAAAGAGTTCTTTAACAGGACAGAGAGGCAAAACTATCTGAAAAAAAAATTCAATAACTTGAACTATGTTAAAATTAATAACTGTTCATCAAAAGACATCATTAAGAGAGTGAAGTATCACAGAATATGTATGTAGTGCACACACACACTGCATCCTGGGTTGTATATCCAAACTAATCTAAAAAAACATATTAGTGGATTGAACAAACACTGCAGAAATTAGGATATCCACATGGCCAGTAACATGAAAAGATGTTGAACCTCACTAATCATCAGGGAAGTACAAATAACAAAAATGGGATACTTCTTCATATCCACCAGAATAGTAAAGATTGATAAGTCAGTGGTGAGTATGTGGGACCACACTGCTGGTAGTGAGGCATATATCCTATATAATAAACAGGTAATATGCAAATTGACCATTACACCCTCACAAAACGGCTGCCTATGACCAGGCTGGCCAATGGGGTTATTGAGAGATGACCAAACAACTGAACAAGCAGGCTGTGTGGGGCAACCAGGTTGGCAGGGGGGTTAGTGAGGGACAACCAAATGACTGAACAGCAGGCCAGGATGGTGGGCTGTGAGGGGGAACCAGGCCAGCAAGGGAGCAATTGGGGGCAACCAGGTTTTGGGGGGGGGCAGTTGGGGGCCACCAGGCCCGCAGGGGGGCAGTTGGGGGTAACCTGGCTGGCAGTAGGGGGCAGTTAGGGGCAATCAGGCTGGCACACAGAAGCAGTAAGGTGTGATCAGTCCAGTGGGAGGGGGGCAGTAAGGTGTGACCAGGCAGGCAGGCAGGTGAGCTATTAGGAGCCAGTGGTCCAGGATTGTGAGGGGGATGTCCAACTGCCAGTTTAGGCCCAATACCAGGGATTGGGCCTAAACAGGCAATCAGACATCCCTCCAGGGGTCCTGAATTGTAGAGGGTGCAGGCTGGGCTAAGGAGATCCACTCCATCCCTCTGTGCACGAATTTTCTGTACCAGGCTTCTAGTTTATCTATAAAAGGTAAATGGACCATAAAATCTTGATATATTCCTGATATTTTCTACTTTTTTTTTATTATTATTATTATTACAGCATGAATCCAGAGAAACCTTATTGGGATTTAATATGATGAACTATAGAGCATGCAAAAATTTGTGGAAAGCATGTGTAGAACATCACACATTCTTCCGTTTGGACAGACCACTTCCACCTCAAAAGAATTTTTTTGCACATTATTTTACATTAGGTTCAAAATTCCGGTACTGGTAAGTATTGCTTTTGCATTAATGCTGCGTTGCCTTTAAATTAAGGGTATAGTTTATTGAACCATAGAATTGTTGTTACTTATACATACCTATGAATCAAAATCTCCATGACTATATCAACAAAAAGTGCTATAGGTTCTTGTGAAAAACCTTTCTTTTACTTTATTTCATTTCATTAGTTCCTATAGTAAATCAATGATATTTAATTATTTATATTCTAGAACTGTTATAATTTCTATTATGTTTTTATTAAACATTTACAAGAAAACTTCTTTGTTCCAAGACACCATGTATTTTTAAGCTGTTTTCTGCATAAGCATACTAATACTTGGCTTATTTTGTGTCTGAGTTCTCAAACCCTTTATTGTACAGAGTTATACAAAATCAGATTTTATAACTGAAAAGTAGCCCTACGTCCTTTTCCTAATATTGTTGTATTTTTTATTTCTGATAGCTTTTATTTTTTTCCTGAAGGCAACAATCTTTGGGGGATAGCTAATTAGAAAAAAATAACAGCATAAGGCCTCTAATAGGTTATTTTATTTAAAATGCATGCCTTCCCCTCCCGCAAAAGATTCAGTAGCAACACAAACAGAATTGGGAAAATTTTAATATCGTTCATGCTCCAAAAGGTCAGGGCACCTGCCTGGGTTGCAGGCTCGATGCCCAATAGGAGGTGGTGTGGGAGGCAACTGATCAATGTTTTTCTCTCTTTTTCCCTCTTTAAAATCAAAAAAAAAAAAAAAAAAAAAAAACCTTTGCCAAAACTGGTTTGGCTCAGTGGTAGAACGTCGGTCTGCGGACTGAAAGGTCTCGGGTTCGATTCCAGCAAGGGCATGTACATTGGTTGCCGGCACATCCCCGGTAGGGGGTGTGCAAGAGGCAGCTGGTCAATGTTTCTCTCTCATCGACGTTTCTAGCTCTCTATCTCTCTCCCTTCTTCTCTGTAAAAAAATCAATTTTATATATATATATATATATATATATATTTTTTTTTTTTAACTTTTTATATTTTCAGGCACAGCAGATTTTTAGTAGCTTGGTGTCATGTTTAACTCCTAGCTCACCTTTCTAAAAGCAATATTGGACAAACTAAGGCAGTGGTACTTGCAAATTCAAAGGTAAATAGAGAGAATGTTAGATCAAAGGTGAAAGTCAAGGAAAATTTTACTAAACATTATATATTGGTACTATTCCTCAGCAAAGACAAAAGAAATCTCTAATGAAAGAACAGTACTAACCATAATGGTCTCAATAAACTTCATTCCTAATTAAACAACCCCCAGAGTTATTGTACAAAGACTATACTTTCTTTAATCTTCCTCTGTACTTGAAAATACAATCTATAATAATAAAAGCATAAAATGCTAATTAGACTGGACAACTTTCCACACAAAGCCAGGGCTGCGAGGGAAGTCCAGGTCCCGGGTACCAGAGGGAAGCCTCTGCTAGCAGCTGTGGGAAGGAAGGCCTACTCTTGCACGGATTTTGTGCATGGGCCTCTAGTATAAATATAAATAACGCACACACCATTTTGCTTAGCAGCAAAGAAATGAATAGATTGTAATAATCAGCCTTATTTATTACACTGTTATAACTCAAACAAGTCTTGGATGAGAAAAAAATCAAGGAATTTACCCAAACTATACCACAGCAAACAAAATCTAATCATAATGACTACAAATGCAAAAGAGAGTTTAAACAGTTTGGAGATAAATCATCACTGAAACAGAATGAAATTTCCATATGAATATTGATTTTTTTTTTTTTAAATGAAGAAGCTAAAGAAATTAGTTTAAAAAAATAAAATATTGGTGGGGAGAAGAGCAACACCTGCCTTGCAGCAATTACTGCCTTTGGAGGAATATGGGCCTATTACTAGCAGGTTTTGAATTTCTAAACAGCTTTATTAAAATGTAATTGATATACAGTAAGCTACTATATTTAAAGTTTTAAAATTGATATTTTTTGATAAAGTTTTAAAATGGATACATATCCATTAATCCATCACCACTCACGATCACTAGCATATCTACCCAAAATGTTTCCCCAAACCCTCTTGGTTTTTTTTTTGTTTGTTTGTTTTTAATATATTTTATTGATTTTTCACAGAGAGGAAGAGAGAGAGATAGAGAGTTAGAAACATCAATGAGAGAGAATCATTGATCAGCTGCCTCTTGCACACCCTCCACCGGGGATGTGCCCGCAACCAAGGTACATGCCCTTGCCCGGAATCGAACCCGGGACCTTTCAGTCCGCAGGCCGACGCTCTATCCACTGAGCCAAACCGGTCCCAGCATCCCCAAACCCTCTTGTAATTCCTTTCTCCCACCCTTTTATATCCCCATGAAACCAACCATGTATTTTATATGTAAATATATGTAAATGGTTTTTTTTAAGGTTTTATATATATATTTTATATCATGTATTTTTAAGCATGTATATTGCATGTTTGTATTTTAGTCTGGCTTCTTTTACTAAGCATAGATATTCTAAAATGTATCTGTGTTGTTACATGTATTGATGGCTCATTTCTTTTTATTGTAGAGTAGTATTCCATTGTATAGATATACTGTAATTTTTTATCCATTCACTTGATTATGATATATAATGGTTTGTTTCCCAATTGGGTTGTTTCCAAGTTTGGGCTATTAATAAAGCTACTGTGAACATTCATGTGAAATGTTTGCTTCAATTGCTCTTGATTAAATACTTAAGAGTGGAATGCCCAGATCATGTGGTAAATATTTAACTTTGAAAAATCTGCCAGTCATTTTTTTAAAGGAGTTTGTACCATTATATGTACCCACCAGCAATATATGAGATTTCCAATCAGTATATTCTCACCAACATTCATTGTTATCTTTTCATTTTACTAGTGTCTTCTGAAAAACATAATTTTGATGAAGTACAAATTGCCAATTTTTCTTTTATGGATTTTTCTTTCTGTTTCATATATAAGAAATCTTTGCCTAACCCCAGGTCACTAAGATTCATTCCTGTTTTCTTCTATGTGTTTTGTAGTTTTAGCTCTTAACGTTTAGGTCTATGATTCATTTGAAATAATTTTTGTATATGGTGGGAAGTATGGATTGATTTTGTTAGGGTTTTGTTTGTTTTTTTTATTGCATATGGACATCCAGTTGTCCCAGCACAATTTATTGAAAAGATTGTCCATTTTTCATTGACTTGGCTTTTGCACCTTGGTTGAAAATCAATAATTCAGATTTTTATAGTCTTGTTTTTGGTCTTATATCTAATAAGTTTTAAAATCAGTAGTATTAGTCCTCCAACTTAGTTTTTTTTCCCCTCTTTTTAGTTGTTTTTTCTTTTTTTCTTTTTCGTTTTGTTATTTTTTTCTTTTAGAAGCAAGGCCTTTTTTTTTTTTTTTTTTTTTTTTATGTGATGAGTGACATTGATTTTTCATGTCTTAAACTTTCCCTGCTTTCCACTGATAAACCTTACTTTGTCATCATCTTTTACCCTTTTTTTATTTTATTCACTTTGCTAAAGTTTTATTTCGAATTTTTGCATTCATGTTCATGAAGGATATTATTTTGTAGTTTTCTAATAATGTCATTGTCAGGTTTTGGTGTCAGGTTTTTGACCTCATTAAATGAGTTGGGGGGAAAAATAAGTTGGGAGGTACTAATATTTTCTCATTTTCAACTTTCTAGAAGACTTTCTGTGGTAATGGTATTATTTTCTTTTGAAATGTTTAATAGAATTTACCAATTAATCCATGTAGGGCAGAAGTTTTATTTACAGGAAACTTTTGAACTACACATGAAAATTCTTTATTAGCTATACAGCAATTCAGGATTTCTCTTCCTGAACAAGCATTAGTAGGTGTTTTTCAAGAAATTTATCTATTTCATCTAAGTCGTTGAATTTTTTTATATAAAATTTATAATATTTTCCTGTTATCTTTATATCTTTAGAATCTGTAAGAATGCCATTTCTGTCATTCTTGATATTGATACTATTTTTCTTCTCTTTTCTTTCTGAATATTCTCACTAGAGATTTATCAGTTTGGATTAAATATCCTATCTAATAAAAGTAATATGCAAATTGACCATCACTCCAACACACAAGATGGTACCCCCATGTGGACACAGGATGGCAGCCACAAGATGGCCAGCAGGGGAGGGCAGTAGAGAGGGACCAGGCCTGCAGGGGAGAGCAATTAGGTGTGACCAGGCCTGCAGGGAAGGGCAGTTAGGGACAATCAGACTGCTAGAGGAGCAGTTAGGCATTAATCAGGCTGGCAGGGGAGTGGTTAAGGGGCAGACAGAAGTGGTTAGGGGCAATCAGGAAAGCAGGCAGGTGAGCATTTGGGAGCCAGCGGGACTGTATTGTGAGGGGGATGTCCCAGATTGGAGAGATAGCAGGCTGTGTTGAGGGACACACACCCCATCCATTCCCAAATTTAATGCACCGGGCCTCTAGTTTTTAAATCTTGAGCAACAAAGCTTTTATCCAGCCCTGGCTAGTATGTCTCAGTTGTTGAGCATTATCCTTTGCTCCAAGTGGTCACAGGGTTAATTTCCACTCAGGGCATATGTCCAGTTGCAGGCTTGATCCTCAATGGGGGGGCATGCAGAAACTTTTTTTCAGGCTTATCTACCATGTCTGAAAGGGAAAACATAACCAAAAAAAATACTTTACTTAGTAAGTTTACCATTGAAATTTAGACATTAACAAAAATAAAAATCCTCACAGGATATAACATTTCTGAATCCATTTTTTAAAAATGTTTAATGGTGCCAGCCGGCATGGCTCAGTGATTGAGTGTCCCTGTTTGGGCCTCTCCCCAGTAGGGGTCTTGCAGGAGGGAGCCAATCAATGATTCTCTCTGATCATTGATGTTTCTATCTCTTCCTGTCCCTTCCTGTATGCAATCAATAAAAATATACTTTGAACAGAGAATCCAAGATGGCTGCACGGGTAAACACCTAGCTGCAGCTGCACACAACAAAATACAATTAAAATATAAAATGGACATTACCCAGAACTACAGGAAAGTCGACTGACTGGAAATTCTACAACGAGAAGCAAGGAAAAAACCAGAAGGAAGAGCAGAGGAGCTGTAAAAGCCTAAGGTACAGAGACAAGCGGCGCACGTGGAGAGGCAGTCCCGGAGGCGTGCACATTCTGCGCAGAGGACGGACTGTTGACTCTGCTGCCAGATTGCCCTGGCAGGAAGAAGACAAAGGCTCCGGACTGTGCTGGGCCCCAGTTCTGACTCCTCTGAACCCCACTTCTAGGCCAAACTCCGGGGATCCAGGCTCAAACAGAGGGAGCTGGGCTGTAAGGCAGAACCCCGGGGGAGCGACGAAAGGAGGTCCCAGAGGCGCGCACATTGCAAACAGAGAAGGGACGGTTGGCTGTGCTGTGGGGTTGCCCTGGCAGGAAGGAGACAGGGGCTCCAGACTGTTCTGAACTCCACTTCCAACTGAACTGAATCCCAGTTCTGGGCTCATTGGGGGAGAGCCTACACTGTTTGGTAGCAGGCAAAAATCAAGGGCATCTTTCTCTCAGAGGTGCTTGCAGCGAGTACCAAAGGACCCAGGGGATTACTGAGACTCAGGAACCGCATAGGGCGTGGCTGATGGAAGCCTGTAGGCTCCACCCTGAAACTCCGCCCCATCAGGGAACCGGCAAAAATGCCAAGACAATGAAATAGATCACAAACGAAAGAAATGGAGGACAAGAAGCGACTGGATATAGAGTTCAAAACCACACTTATAAGGTTGTTCAAGAATCTCCTAGAAAAGGCCAATAAAAAAAATAAGACCTATGAGGATATGAAAAGGGATCAACTAGAAATAATAAGGGATCAACAAGAAATGAAGAATACATTGTCCGAAATAAAAAATATTATACAGAGTCCTAAAAACAGAATGGAAGACCACAAGAATCAAGTCAAAGATTTGGAACATAAAGAGCCAGAGGACACTCCTCCACAGAAGCAAGAAGATAAGAGAATCCAGAAAATTGAAGATAATGTAAGAAACCTCTGGGACAACTTCAAGCGAACCAACATCAGAATTATGGGGGTCCCAGAAAATCAGAGAGAGCAAGATACCAAAAACATACTGAAAGAAATAGTGACAGAAAACTTCCCCCACCTGGTGAAAGAATTAGACTTACAAGTCCAGGAAGTGCACAGAACCCCAAACAAAAGGAATCCAAAGAAGACCACACCAAGACACATCATAATTAAAATTCCAAGAGCAAAAGACAAAGAGAGAATATTAAAAGCAGCAAGAGCAAAGCAGGTAGTTACCTATAAAGGAGCACCCATATGATTGTCAGCTGATTTCTCAACAGAAACCATTCAGGCCAGATGGGAATGGCAAGAAATATTCAAGGTGACGAATAGTAAGAACCTACAGCCAAAAATACTCTACCCAGCAAAGCTATCACTCAGAATCGAAGGCCAGATAAAGAGCTTCACTAATAAAAAAAAGCTAAAGGAGTTCATTACCACCAAACCAGAATTATATGAATTGCTGAAGGAGGTTCTTTCTGAAGAGAAAGTAAATAAAGATAAAAATTATGAACAACAGATACATAACTATCAACAAGTGAGTCTAAAAACCAAGGAAATTAAAAAAACTGATGAACAATATTAACTGTTGAATACAATAGAATCAGAGGTATGGAAGGGGAGTGAACTGACGATTCTTGGGGAAAAGGGGAAAGGGGGATATGGGAAGAGACTGAACATAAACTATGCACCTATGGATGAGGACAATGGGGGGTGGGGAAAGGGCAGAGGGTGGGGTGGGAACCTGGTGGAGGAGAGCAATGGGGGGGAGGAAGAGAAACATTTGTAATAATATGAACAATAAATATCTATTAAAATATATATATATATATATATACACACACACACATACACACATACACACACTTTGAAAATGCACTTAATAGTAAAATTGAGCTATTCAAGAGGTAAATTAAAATAGCTCATGAACCTTAGCTGGTTTGACTCAGTGGATAGAGCTCCAGCCTTCAGGTTCACTTTCCAGTCAAGGGCACTTACTTCAATTGCAGGTTCCATCCCACTGTGGTAGTGACACATGCAGGAGGCAATCAATCAATGTGTCTCTCTCACATTGATTTTTCTCTCTATCTCCTCACTCTCTCTAAAAAAAATCAATGGAAAAATTTATCCTCGGGTGAAGATTAACAGAAAATAGCTCATGAACTGGCCCTGGCTGGATAAGTTGGTTAAAGTGTTATCCCAATATGCCAAGGTTGTGGGTTCAATCCCTGGTCAGCGTATAAACCAAAATCAACCAATGAATATATAAATAAATGGAATAGTAAATTGATGTTTTTCTTCATACCTCTCTTCCTCCCTTCTTTGCTTCCCTCCCTTTTTCTTTTCCTCTCTCTCTAAAATCAATAAAATTCAATAAATAATTAAAATAAATCAAGGAGTATCTGGCAAAAAGAACTAAGAATGAAGATTAAACCCTTTAGCCAAGACTGGTTTGGCTCAGTGGATAGAGCGTCGGCTTGGGGACTGAAGGGTCCCTGGTTCGATTCCGGTCGGGGGCATGTGCCTTGGTTGCGGGCATGTCCCCAGTGGGGGGTGTGCAGGAGGCAGCTGATCGATGACTCTCATCGACGTTTCTAGCTCTCTATCTCTCTCCCTTCCTCTCTGTACAAAAATAATAAAATATATATTTTAAAAAAAAAAGATTAAACCCTTTAAATATAAAACTAAACTAAGTATCCTATCTAATAAAGAGGGAATATGCTATTGACCCTCACCCTGTGACAAAGATGGTGGCACCCTCAGCCAATGATGGGAATATGCTAATTGACTGCCCCCCTCAAAGACAGTAGTGCCCACAGCCATTAAAGTGGGAATATGCTAATTGATTGTCACACCCTCAAAGATGGTGGTACCCACAGCCAGGAGATGGCGACGCCCAGTCCCCTTAGCCATACAGGGGTGGCAGGCGCGCAGAAAGGCTGGGCCTACCCCATGCACCTGCCTTTGGAGTTCCCCTCAGCCCCCAGGCACCCAGGGCCAGCCCGAAGTGCAGGCAAGCCTCGGATTTCAGCTGCCCAGCTGCCAAGGGCTACCCGAGTGTTAGATAACCATGGCCGGCCGAAGCTTGTGCTGCCGGCAGTGTCAGCAGCAGAAGTGTGATGGGGCATCACCTTCGCCTGATCACCAGGGCTGAGGGATCTCCCCCCCACCCTCCACTGCAATGCATGAATTTTTATGCACCGGGCCTCTAGGCCTATACAATAAAAGGATAATATGCAAATTGACGAAAAAACAAAACAACTGGTTGCTATGTGCCCTGACCACCAAGGGGCAGATGCTCAATTCAAGAGCAGCCCCTGGTGGTCATTGCACTCCACTCAGCCAGAAGCCAGGCTCACGGCTGGCAAGAGCAGCGATGGTGGTGGCAGTGCTAAGGACATTCAACTAATGGCTTAGGCCTGCTCCTTTAAATTTAGGCAGGTTGAAGTTTAAGAAATTATATTTTCTTCTTAAAGGTTGCAAGTTCAATCTCTTCTTAAAGGAAATATAATTTCTTAAACTTCAACTTGTCTAAATTTAAAAATCATAGTAACATTTCTAACGTTTCCATTAAAGCTTCAACAGACATGCCTTCTATTTACATTTAGCTATACTCATCTATGAAAGATGATCTTAAAATTATTTGCTTAGCTTTGGAAACCCATAGGGCTGCTTTTATATGTATTAGATATCTGCATATGTAAATGTTTATATTTGATAAATTAGACATTTATGTACATTCACAATTAAATGTGATGTGTCAAGTAACAAATTCTCTGAGAACCAAGTTTTTATTTACAAATTTGGTCTTTAGTCATTGGAGTATCACAATGGAGAGTCAACTCCTATAAATAAACAGTATACTTGCTAGGCAAATCAGCTTTAAGAAAAATCCTCTGTAGTGCCCAAGTCCAAATCATATTTCTGTTCTTAGTTCTTTTTTATATACAAAAATCTGGAATTTTTTGTGTCTGGACATGAAAGGATGTGAGGATGTCACCAGTCTTTTTTTTTTTTTTTTTTTTTTTTTAATCTTTATTGTTGAAAGTATTACATAGGTCCTCCACCTCCCCCAATCTTAGCCTGCCCCTGCCCCAGGCCTTCACTACCCTATTTTCTGTGTCCATGGGTTATGCATATATGCATACAAGTTCTTTCAGTGACCACAATATAACTAGTCTTTTTATCTATAACCATTACCAGTAGACAAGGAGGAAAATTTTGTCTAAGGAAAGAGCTGTTCATCGAGATGTCCATGTTTCAGGCCCTTCATTACCTGTAGTAATAGAGACACCACCTAACCACAGGCCTCTAGGGTAAGGGCAAGGCTTAGATGAGCTGAGACACAAAAGCCTATCTCAGTCCAGGGGGAGTACTTTTACAGGGCATAGCAGAGAAGGAACTCCTCTCATGCAAAATTATTTCTTTCACATTTACTCCCAAATAAGGAAGTGTCTGTGGAACACATTTGTGTTGATTAATGAGAGAACTTAATTAAGTTTCATACATTCAGCTAGAACTAGAATGTAGTCCAGTCATTAAGTCTTATCCTTTGCTTTCTTTTCCCTGCTAGAAATATCTTGTCTCTTAAGAGATTGTAATATAATCATGTTGTGTGTTATTTTAGAATTCTCTTCAGTATTTTATTGTGCATATTTATGTATTTCAGCGGGAGAACTGAAGTCCAGTCAGTTCAGTATGGCAAAGAAAAAGCAAATAAGGACAGGGTATTTGCAAGGTAAGGCTCCTGTTTCAGTATCTTTTTTTTTTTTTTAAAGAAATATTAAAATTTACTAAAATCTCTTTTCTCAAATATGATTACAAAATTATCACCTGACCCTTCATTTAATTAAACAACTGATTATGTTGAGGGAATAGTGAAACAGTTTGTCTAATTCATTCATTCATATTTATTGCATAAGCTATATTAACCCTGTGCCAAGCATTATAGCTCTGACTACACTGAATCAAGTATTATATAATTAATATAACTTTTATTGCATGATTTATTACCCTTTTTTAAAACATTTCCAGAGGCCTGGCTGGGTGGCTCAGTTGGAGTGTCATCCTGTAGATCCAAAGGTTTTGGATTTGCTTCCCAGTCAGAGCATATACCCAGGTTGCAAGTTCGATCCCTGGTCAAGATGTGTATGAGAGACAACAAATCGATGTTTCTCTCTAACATCAATACTTCCCCTCTCACCCTTTCTCTATCTTTAAAATCAATAAAAACATATCCACAGGTGAGGATTTAAAAAGTTATAACACTTGGAATCAAAGGAAGAGAGCCCAGACAAGCTCTATCAAGAAAGGTATCCTAGGAACCAATTAACAAAGCCACATTGGCTGCCTACCTTTTAATTTTAACCTCATAGGTCCCCACACATCCTTTGCCAGGAGCTGGGGCAGGAAAGCAGATTTTGGATTGCTGGCCCAGCCCTGAAAGCGAGCCTCCTACTCACCACCCTCCACGGGCTCACCACCTTTCCCCCTGCCAGGGCACTTTTCTTTTGTGTGTGCTTTCTATGTTCTTAGTCTCTACTCCTGCTCCTGCTGCCTGTGTGGGTCAGGACCAGGTCCAGCCACAGGCAGAAAAAGACACCATGTACAGTGGCACATCTTGACTAGTTGCTAATTTTCATTTGTGAAAGTGATTTGATTTAGAATGAAATGGTTTTGCATTAAAACAAAAAAACACAAAATGTTTTGAGTAACATCACTTTTATTATCCAGTCATTTCCATATATTTTTTAATCATATTGTTAAGAAATAAGTTGCTTTTTATTTTGCTGTCATTTATTTTCACTTTTTTAAGGATTTTTAAATAGCCAATTTACTTTTTTAAAAATATTTTATTGATTTTTTTTTTTTTTTAACAGGAAGGGAGAGAGATAGAGAGTTAGAAACGTCGATAACAGAGAAACATCGATCAGCTGCCTCCTATACGCTCCCTACTGGGAATGTGCCCGCAACCAAAGTACATGCCCTTGACCAGAATTGAACCTGGGACCTTTCAGTCCGCAGGCTGATGCTCTATCCACTGAGCCAAACCGGTTTTGGCTATTAGCCAATTTACTTTTAACAAATGAAGTGAGGTGATTAAATTTATGTTTTAGAAAATGGTTTTATGAGCAAGGATAGACAAAGTATTAGAAATACAGACTGAGTACCCAGAAACCAACTTATTGCAGTAATCCAAGTGAAAATAATGAAGGCCTGAACTAAAATATTTTTATATATCCATATATCTATATATGTATCTGTGTGTGTGTGTGTGTGTGTGTGTGCGTGTGTATATATATATATATATATATATATATATATATATCTTTATTGTTCATATTATTACAAAAGTTCTTCATTTTTTCCCCCTCCACCAGGTTTCCACCCCTCCCTCTGTCCTTTCCCCATTCCCCATTGTCCTCATCCATAGGTGCACAGTTTATGTTCAGTCTCTTCCCACACCCCCCACTCCCCTTTTCCCTGAGAATCATCAGTTCACTCCCCTTCCATACCTCTGATTCTATTATATTCACCAGTTTTTTAATTCCCTTGGTTTTTAGATCACTTGTTGATAGTTATATATTTGTGTTCATAAGTTTTATCTTTATTTTCTTCCCCTTCCTAAAGAATCCCCTGCAGCAATTCATATAATTCTGGTTTGGTGGTGGTGAATTCCTTTAGCTTTTTTTTATTAGTGAAGCTCTTTATCTGGCCTTCGATTCTGAGTGATAGCTTTGCTGGATAGAGTATTTTTGGCTGTAGGTTCTTGCTATTCATCCCCTTGAATATTTATTGCCATTCCCGTCTGGCCTGCATGGCTTCTGTTGAGAAATCAGCTGACAATCATATGGGTGCTCCTTTATAGGTAACTACCTGCTTTGCTCTTGCTGCTTTTAATATTCTCTCTTTGTCTTTTGCTCTTGGAATTTTAATTATGATGTGTCTTGGTGTGATCCTCTTTGGGTTCCTTTTGTTTGGGGTTCTGTGCACTTCCTGGACTTGTAAGTCTATTTCTTTCACAAGGTGGGGGAAGTTTTCTGTCACTATTTCTTTCAGTATGTTTTTGGTATCTTGCTCTCTCTGATTTTCTGGGACCCCCATAATTCTGATGTTGGTTCGCTTGAAGTTGTCCCAGAGGTTTCTTACACTATCTTCAACTTTCTGGATTCTTTTGTCTTCTTGCTTCTGCGGAAGAGTGTCCTCTGGCTCTTTATGTTCCAAATCTTTGACTTGATTCTTGCGATCTTCCATTCTGTTTTTAGGACTCTGTATAATATTTTTTATTTCAGACAATGTATTCTTTATTTCTAGTTGATCCATTTTCATATTCTGATAGGTCTCATTTATTTTTATTTATTTATTTATTTATTTAAATATATTTTATTGATTTTTGTACAGAGAGGAAGGGAGAGAGATAGAGAGTCAGAAACATCGATGAGAGAGAGTCATTGATCAGCTGCCTCTTGCACACACCCCCACTGGGGACATGCCCTTGACTGGAATCGAACCCGGGACCCTTCAGTCCCCAAGCCGACGCTCTATCCATTGAGCCAAACCGGTCCCGGCGGTCTCATTTATTTTATCGGCCTTTTTTAGGAAATTCTTGGAAAACTTTATAAGCATGGTTTTGAACTCTATATCCAGTCGCTTTTTGTCCTCCATTTCTTTGTTTGTGATCTCTTGTCTCGCATTCTCGCTGCTTCTCTGAGTTTGTAGGGTGGCTTTGTGTGTTAAGATGTTATGGTTCAGTGGGTCAGCCTCCCAGTTATCTGAGGACACTCTTGGTGCACCCCTTCGTGGACTGTGTGTACAGCCTTGTTGTAGTTAAGTCTTAATTGTTGTTGTTATCACTGGGAGGAATTGACCTCCAGGCCAATTGGCTGTGAGGATCAGCTATGTCTATGCCGGGAGACAGCTTTATTCAAAAGCCTCTGTGTTCAGCTTGGATGGGGCAGAGTTTCAGGGTGGAGCCTACAGCCTTGGCTTCCTGTCAGCCCCACCCTATGAGGTTCCTGAGTCTGTGTTACTCAGTGTCCTTTGGTGCTTTGGTACTCGCTGCAAGCACCTCTGAGAGAAAGGTGCCCTCGAGTTTCTCCCACTACCAGACAGTCTAGTCCCTCCCCCAATGAGCCCAAAACTGGGGTTCATTGCAGTCTGGAGATTTTGTCTCTTTCCCGCTAGGGCAATCCAGTGGCACAGTCAAGAGTCCTCTGCGTGCAATGTTTGCGACTCCAGGGCTCTGCCTTTTGCCGCTCCCCTGAGTTTCCGCCTTACAGCCCCGATTCCCTCTGTATGAGCTTGGGTCCCCAGGGTCTGGTCTAGAACTGGGGTTCAGTGCAGTCAGAAATGGGGCTCAGCACATTCAGGAGCTTTTGTCTCCTTCCCCTAGTTAGGGGTGTCGAACTCAATCAGAGAAGGGGCCAAAATCTAAAATCCAGCCTAAATCGCGGGTCGAATGGTTTACTGAACAGTCATAAACTGTCATTGTGATGGAAACGCAGCGGAGTGCAGTGATGACAGCGTGGTGCGGGCCACATTGCAAGGCCTGGTGGGACGGATTTGGCCCTCGGGCCTTGTGTTTGACACATGTGCCCTAGGGCAATCCAGCGGCACAGTTAACAGTCCGTCCTCTGCGTGCTATGTGCTTGACTCTGGGGCTCTGCCTTTTGCCGCTCCCCTGAGTTTCTGCCATATAGCCTAGAATCCCTCTGTATGAACCTGGGACCCCAGGGTCTCACCCAGAACAGGGGTTCAGTGCAGTCGGAACTGGGGTTCAGCACAGTCTGGAGCTTTTATCTCCTTCCCGCTAGGGAACACCAGCCAGGCACTCAGCCACCCCTCCTTTATGGCTCCATCCTCTCCCCACATGCTCACCGTGTCTCCGTACCTTAGGCTTTTACAGCTCCTCTGATTTTCCTTCTGGTTTTCTCTTTCCTTTTAGTTATAGAATTTCCAGTCAGTCAACTTTCCTGTAGTTCTGGATAATGTCCACTTTATATTTTAGTTGTATTTTTTGAAATTGTTGTGTGAGGCTGCAGTTAGGCGTTTACCAATGCCACCATCTTAGTTTCTCCCCTGAACTAAAATATTGGCAGTGAGCGGAAGATCAAATTTGGGGAACATCTTATAAATAGAAATACCGTATTTTTCGGACCTTAAGACGCACTTTTTTCCCCCCAGAAGTGGGGGGGAAAAGTCCCTGCGTCTTATGGTCCAAATATAGCCTACACATATACTTTAAAAAAAAAGTTTTTTTACTTGCCCGGCTCTGTGTGGTCTCTGTGTGCTTGCCCGGCTCTAAAATGGTTCTAAATGCTGCTGTTTACTTTACAGGGTTGATTACATGTGTTTATGACTGTGATGTTGGGTTTTAATGCACATAAAATATTTTAGGACACTATTTGTTTCAGAATCTTTTTTTCTTCATTTCCCTTCTCTAAAAACTGGTGCGTCTTATGGTCCGGAGCGTCTTATGGTCCGAAAAATACGGTAGTAAAAATTAATGACCAATTGGATGGAGATGTGTTAGCTGCAGGTGTATCTGGAAAGAATGTCAGATTTAAACGATTTACAACAGATGGGATGTAGAGGCAGAATAAATTTGTAATGGAAAAAGGTGTTAAGTTGGCACGGATCTAGTTTGATATGTCTGAGCAATGCTCTTAGCAGGATTATGCAATAAATGATTAAATATTCAGAGACACTAGAAAAAAGATGGCGATCCGCAAGAAAGCA